CCCTCCCCCCTCTCATGTGCTCTCTCTCTCTCTCTCATTCTCTTTCAAATAAATAAATAAAATAAAATCTTTAAATAAATAAATAAATAAATAAAATCTCTTTAAAAAAAGATTTTATTTTTAAGTAATCTCTACCCAACATGGGGCTTCAACTCACAACAGAGATTAAGAGTTGCACACTCCACTGACTGAGCCAGCCAGGTGCCCCAGTGTAACCATTTTTATTTTAATGTTTTAGTTAGCACCCAAAACAACAGAATTGCAACATATGCTTACTTATCTTTGAAATTGGTCCCCAAAACTCAGGAACAATAGATAAAATCTCTTAGCTAATGAACCTTATAGTTTGCTGTGCATTTGAAGACCTCCCCTTGAACACTGTAAGGTATGCCTTATAGTTGATCTGTTATTCAAAAGTAGTTGAAACTGAAATGCTCAGATGTAGTAGAGATAACTTACTTGCCACCCTAGCTTACAATAGGTGCAGTGGACATCAGCCAGGCCCCTGGGTGCATTGGTTAAGTGGGTGGGTCAGTTCACTGGAGACGGGTCAAGAGAGCCTCTACTGAAAGTTGCATTGTTGTTCAGTGTTGGGCATTCTGACTCCAAACACCATGCTCTTAAGAGGCTTGACCATTAGAAGGGAAGCTGGCTGGTTCAGTCGGTAGATTATGTGACTCTTGATGTCAAGGTAACAGTATGGCTCTCTCTAAAAGTAGCTTTTTGGGGAAGCTGGGTGGCTCAGTTGGTTAAGCATCGGCCTTTGGCTCAGGTCATGATCCCAGGGTCCTGGGGTCGAGCCCTGCGTCTGACTCCCTGCTCAGTGGGGAGTCTGCTTCTCCCTCTCCACCACTCGTGTGCGTGCTCTCTCTCTCAAATAAATAAATAAAATCTTAAAAATAAAATAAAAGTAGATTTTCTTCACTGATGCTTGAAATTTCACTGTTAACGAGTTGTTCTTTGGAAGAGATGACATTTTAAGAGAAAAGCTTTGGGGTGCCTGGGTGGCTCAGTCAGTTGAGCATCTGCCTTCTGCTCAGGTCATGATCCCATGAGCCATGGGTCGGACTCCCTGTTGGGAGGAGAGTCTGCTTCTCCCTCTCCCACTGCCCCTCCATCCCCCAGCGGGTGCTCTCTCTCTCTCACTCACTCTCTCTCAAATAAATAAATAAAATCTTTTTAAAAAATTTAAAAAAGAGGGCGCCTGGGTGGCTCAGTTGGTTAGGCGGCTGCCTTCGGCTCAGGTCATGATCCTGGAGTCCCTGGATCGAGTCCCGCATCGGGCTCCCTGCTCGGCGGGGAGTCTGCTTCTCCCTCTGACCCTCCCCCCTCTCATGTGTTCTCTCTCATTCTCTCTCTCTCAAATAAATAAATAAAATCTTTAAAAAAAAAATTTAAAAAAGAAAAGCTTTGTATTAATCTAGTGAAGCTCTAATAGTTAGAATGGATTGGGCAGTTTTAAGATAGTCATCCCCTCTTCCCGCCCCAACCCCACCAGAAAAAAAATTGGGATCAGCAGTTTGGTCTCCCCTGTTTTGGTATGATCAAAATCATTATTCTTTTCCTTTCTTGTTTGTTGTTAAAATAGCTTACTTGCCCCAAACACCTGAATACTCCTGATGATGGAACTTTTAGAAAGAGATATTTGGGAAAACACAGTCGGGTCACATTGATTTTTATTAATGATCATTTCTAATCTTTTTGCTGTCGCTTGTTTATTTAAAGGAAAAAAGAAAAAGAATAATTCAGCCTAGAACACTGGAAAAGAGATAATGTGCAAGCAGATATTTTCTTATTCAAGAAGCTGATGTGCGAACAATGGGAAAACTTCACTTCTTTTCATTTTTTTTTCCTCCCCTCTTGTCGTACAGGGAGACTACAGTTGCTTTGTGGAAGTGCCTTTCTTGGGCCAGTCTCTTCAGGGTCAGAGATTAAACTTTGGGGCTTTATTGGGTTGAACGGTGCGGCTGGAACCATGCAAAGCTTTTCCTAGACACTGAAAAGGACTCCCAGGCGCAGACTGGGTGGCTCTAGGAGGTTGCAGGGAGGAGCCAGGCTCACCAGCCCGGACAGGGCAGCTTGCCTGCCACTTAAAGCAGACAATTCTGAAAGGCCATTGAGGACAAAGCCCTTCTCCAAATTCTTGCTTTTAATTCTCTGTGGCCCCTGCAAGCCTTGAGGATGCTCAGGAAGTCTGTTAGAGGATTTAGCTATACATCTTTTTAATTAAAACACACAAAGCTCTAATTACCTGCGGAAATGTGGGGAACAGCTTCCATTGTTATCTCTAATGTGAATGGACCTTCTCTTTTAATATGGCAAATGCCACATCAAATGAGAGCTCATCAGAAGGATTTAGACTGGTTTTCTTAACTACAAATCTCGGATGCTCAGGGCCTGAAAGCTTTCGGAGGGCAGAGCAAACACCTTTCCAAAGGAACCTGTGTCCTGCTGCTGCAGGGAGGCAAGTGGACCAAGGCAGGGCTCTGTGCTCTCAATCATCTTTATGGTTCCTAATTTCTCTGGCAGAACTGGTCGCAGCTCCCCTAATTCTTGGAAGAAGTATTTCCTCTTTTTGTAACCAAGGGAAGTAAATAACCTTTTAACTTATTGCCCTGGAAAAAGAAATGTGGTTTGCCAGGGGTTGACTAAATCTGTTGTATATCACTTAGTCAACAGGCATCTGGGTGATACCATGCCTGGTCCTCATTCAAGAGAAAGGACTGCTCTGGGAATTCAGGCCACTCCCAGCTATCTACTCTAATTATGCTACTTTGCTCG